GATGGAGCGGCATCGGCATGGACGTTGAAGTCTCCCAAAACCAGTAGGTTTGGGAACTCCAAGGCCCAGCCCGCCACCACCTCCAGCAGGTCTGACAGGATGGCTGCAGGTGTGCTGGGTGGTCGGTACACCAGCCAGACAGCCAAGCTCTCCTTGGTGCCCCACACGAGACCAACACATTCAATGCCGGAGATCGCCGGTGATGGCAGAGCTCTGAAAGAGCAATCCTCCCGGAAGAACAACGCTACTCCTCCCCCCCGACCCACAGTCCGCGATTGATGGAGGACAGAGAAACCTGGGGGTGTTATCTTATGTAGGGAGACTACTTCGCCTTCCCATACCCAGGTCTCCGTCACGCAAGCCAGGTCAATCCCCTGCGAGACAAAAAAGTCACGCATGGTGGCGGTTTTGTTGCCTATGGACCTGGCATTGCACAGCACCAATGACGGAGGTGTGTAATCCTTGCTCTCCCTACCCTCATCCCTTCGGATGGGGCGTAGATTGGAAGGGGTTCGAGGATCACTGCATCTCGAAACTCTTCGCCGATAGAGATATCTAGCCCCACCGCCATTCCTCCCTAGCCCTTCAATTGTGGAAATCCCAGATCCCATACTAGCTTCCCCAATAGATGGGTAACATCCCCTCAATAACAAGTCATCCTTGGGCCAGGACTCCTGGTCAAAATGGTATGGGAAAGAGGTGGAGGTCTGATAGGGTAAGTATCCCTAGAAGATAAAACCCAACCAGCCGCACCCCAAGCGGGGGAGACAGTCCCATGGTGTTTCATTAACTGTCAATCCCCCTCTCCCTCCTGGGTTAATTGGAGGATTGTTGGTTCTATCTGTGGCTGTGGAAGTATTAATGACGTATGTGTTATAAAATGTGGATCACTGGCCAACAAAGAGCCAGATTCGAATTTGGAAGATCTGTCCATCCTGTCTCGCCAGGAGTACAGTAGAGAAGGCTGATCATTCTGATAAGTTTTTGGAACATTAGGCAAAGGTCCAGATGTAGATTTGGTGCTGGATATCTCCAGATTGTCAGCAACATAGAGTTCTTTAGGTGTTGTTGCCATAGAAATGTCGGAGGCGATAAATTCCTCATCTAATTTGGTGTCGTTTGAAAAGGGAACAGGGAGTTGCACTGATGTCTTTCTATGGGATAAAGAGCTGTTGGATGTCTTTAAATATTGTGCTCCAGGCTCTACTGTCCTTGTATTTTGGGTAGAAATCTCAGTCTTTATACTCATTAGCCTCTTCTTCAGGTCTTGTAATTCTAGGCTTACAAAGTTCTTTTTTTCCTTCGGGCAATTAGTATTTCTAGTGTTGAGCTTGGTTTCCTTTATCCGCATTAGCTTTGACTCTATGCAAGGGACCAATTGCCTCCTAGTTTCGTCCTTAAATACCCTCACTGGGCGGAGAGAATGGAACCACCATAGGGTATCCTTTATCTCCATGAGTCAAGATGGGAGGGTTGATGACCTAAAGGTCATAAATAGGCGCCTGGTGTTTCTCAAGGTAGGCAGGAAGTGGAAATTTTCTAGATCTACATTTCGGTAATGGTAATTTAGGAGCTGAGACAAGGACATAGTAATTTGTCTGCGGTTCATCCACCTATGAGTGTATCGGTGAATCTCAAGCATTATCTGGTTTGTTTGCAAGACTTGACAGGACCTCACTTCATCCATAGTTTGAGTTGGTGAGTTGTTAACAGAGTCACTGCTTATCATCCTTTTAAACCCTTGGGCATTTAAAGGGGAGGAACTAGTATCCAATTGTTTCTCAATGTTAACTATTCTAGTAAGGATTTCATCCAGTCTTTGGAGAACCAGAACCATAGTTTCTGCAGACAACATGCAAATCTCTTGGTAGGGGTGCGTATCCCGAATTGGTTGAAAGCAGGCTCCTCTGATATCTTGTTCTAGAGGCATGGGTGGGTCAGCGTTAGGAGTGGGAGGAATCCCTCCTGCTCCTGCTCTTGCCCTCTTGGACGGATTAGCTTTTTCTGGGAGGAGGGGGGGTCATTGACATCCTCCTTAAGGGGGGGTGAGGTTCCCCCAACGTTGTTACTCACTGTTTGTTCTATTTGCTCCATTTTCTCAGTTTCCTCAACCCGCTCTGTTTCTGAGCCAGGGCAGATGGCGTTGGCTCTCTGCCGATTCTTTGTTTTAGAGGAATTGTGAGTCTCAATAATGGTCTTCTGGCTCTTTGCACCTCGTTTTCTCCTTCCGGCAGGCATTCTCAATAAGGAAGTGTTGATAACTAACCCCAAATATTGTGTATTTCTTCTACTTCTACTTCTACTTCTTCTAACTATCATCCCTCCTACATATATTAACCTATGGTTATATTCCCAAATTTTGCTGACCCTTCATTGTTTACAAAGAAATTACTTCCATAATGTCCTAGAATATTAAATAACCGAATCTTACTTCATCTTCCTGACTCATACACTAGGGGACCTAGAAGTACCTCGGCCGCCTACTGTTCTTTACAAATTACTTTTCCTTGATACTGGATAAAATGCAGCAAGGCTCTTTTATTTAGCTTTTTTTTCCCTTTCAGATTCAAAGTGAGACCTAGCAAATATGCTGCCACCTTATGGGAGAGAAAGACATGCTTCTTTTATTTTTTTTTAACTTACAATGCGTAATGGTTGATTCTGCATCTTTGAATTCAAGGGAAGCTCATTGCTGACTTCAGGGAAGCCAAACTACAGAAGACAGCTTGCCATGTTGTGTACATCTGTTTGTTTAATGATGAGCATTTGGTAGTATAAATAGTCTCTTTGTAATACTTCTAGAAATATCAGTAGCATCTCAGCTCTCTGGATGCAAGGATGTCTCAACAATGGCTGTGGGAATAAAAGTTATTAAAGAAAAAACAATGGAATTAACACTCCTCTATGTATATAGAGGAGGCAAAGGAGAGTGACATGAAGAAGGCTGTTAAAGAAAAGCTTCTAAAAGTCATGCATAAGAATAATACTGGAAAACAAAAGGAAACCTTGAGAAGAGCTCAATTTGTTTCTGAAAGCTTGGCATATGGTTCTGCTAATTCATGTTGATGATATAAAAATAAAATATGGGGCTAAAGAAGAAAAGCTGCAAAACAACAAGTTAACAAAAAACTATTTAAAAAATCACAACTATTTAAAAAGCAAATTTATTGTCTGATACATGAGCATTAGTGTTTGCCATTTCTAAAATAACACTGAATGAAAGCTCCCGCACCACAGTGGGACATGCATGGTTCAGAATTTTGGGAAATAAGAATGAAAAAAGCAAGCATATGAGTGTGATGGAAGTACATGTAAGTATGCCAAGATAAGAATAGTTATGTCTCAAATAAGGGAAAGACTTTTTAACGTGGGGAAAAGTGAGTAGGGGGAGAAGGCATGATAAAGATGCACAGTGTGGAGAAAGTAGATAGGGATGCATTTTTCTCCCTCTGCTGTAACACTAGAACCCAAGGCCACCCAATGGATTTGAATGGTGGGGGATCCAGATCAGGCAAAAGGACATAGTTAGACTCATACCCTCCAACATTCCACTGAAGAAAATTGGAACACTCCTCTTTCAGTCAGCTGAAGTCAGCTGACTTGCATGACAGTGTGGCACCACTGCAAGCACCAGTGCTGGCTGCAACCTCCCCCCCCCCCAAGCTTGGTGGCAGTGGTGCTGAAGGGGAGAAATGGGACATTCCAGGATACAATCAAAAAACAGGATGGTTTCCATAATTCTGGGATGTCCCAGGAATATCGGGACAGTTGTAGGCTATGTAAATGATGGAATTTTCCATTTCTCAAGGTCAGAATGGATGCAGCTTGAATGCGAGCTGTTGCTTCAGCCATGAAATGGGCTGGACCAAAAGGTTATATAGGATTTGGAGGCCCCACCCTTTCCTGGCTCTCAGCCAGGCCCTTAGCCAAGCAGATGCATCCATGCATTTTCCCCTCCTTCCAAGTAGCCTCACATTGCTGCTAGCTGAGTACTTTGGAGATGGCAAGTTTGAGGTCTGAACCCTGACAGGAATTCACATTATGTCAGTGGTGCCATTGGGGCAGAAATATGCGGGGGGGGGGGGCACTCAACGAAATGAACAGGAGGGGCCCCAAGCACAGCAGGGCTGCCTTATCATATTTTGAAGTAAATGAAATTCTACACATCATCAGCTAAGACTAGTAAGCCCAGAGTCTAAAAAACAAAACAAAAAAACTTAACTTCTTGATATAGAGATGGCCACCAACTTTAATGGCTTTTCAATGAGATCGGACAAATTAACAGAGGGTATCAATGATTACTGGTCCTGCGGTCTATATGACTTCTTTAACAGAGGCAACATCTTGCTGGTTACTAGTTGCTGGGGCACATGGGCAGGAGAGTGTGTCCTGCTTGTAGGTTTTCCATAGACATATGTTGTCGTCTTGTGCTGACCAGCCATGGCAGAGCTCAGTGGTGGGAGAGGCCAGCCAGCCAGCCAAGTCTCAGGGGGGTACTTGCCTGGAGGCCAAGTCCCTATGAAAGGTTCAGTCTAGTCCTAAGGTCAGGAGTATCTCAGTTCATGTAGTCAGACTGTCCGGGGGTCAAGAAAGCCAAGAGTCCAAGGTCATGAGTGTGACGTTACCATATATGAGAGAGTGCTGGAGGGGAAATAGTTAAATAGGTTGCACAGACAGGACCCAGGGGGGTGGAGTCAGTGGGTCTATAAAGGAGTTCTGGGAGGAGTTCTGAGAGTAAGTTCGTTGGGAGTTGTGGGTGGGTAGTTGGTTGGTTTGAGTGGGTTGGCTGGTTGGGAAAGGCAGTTGGTAATAGAGAGACAGTTAGGGCAGTTGGTCCTTGAGTGTGGGAGAGGTAGCAGAGATAGAGAGAGGAACAAAAGACTAAGAAAGTAAAGAGGAACACTGTTTGGAATGCTGTAATAGTTTTGTTTTAAGTCTGAAATAAAATACACTCTTCTTTATGAATTGAAAAGCTGACTGAGACTGAAGTGATTTTACCACCTGGGTGGTGGCAGCAGATTAGTGGTGTACGGGTCAATAGTCCATGAGACGACCGGGGCCTCCGTACAAACGCCACAATGAGAAGCAAGAAACAGCAAGGTCTGTCCGGAACTGACTGAGGCTGGAAACCCTGCTGAAGAAAGCTGAAGCTAGCTGGTTCACATCAGGAACAAGAAGGCTGACCAGCAGCTGGTGGAGTCACTTTGCCTTCTGCTCCTTCAGGCTGCTGCTCAGAGGTAAACCCAATTCCTGGCCCATGACAACAAATGCTTGGCCACTGGGGGAACAGAATGCTGACCTAGATAGTCCCTTGATCTGATGCAGCAGGGCTCCTTGTATATAAATGTATTAGTCACTTAATATTTTGTTGGGCATTGTTATTTATGTAGGTTAACTTTCATTACCATCAGCAATTTTGCAACCGTATGAGTCAATTCCTTCCTTCCCATACATTTTCTGTGTATACTGTCCTGCCGCATCATAGCTTTAGTGGGAATGGTTTATCATCACATGCTTACAATTAGAAACTATGAGATTATGTCACTTCTACTTTGTTCTGCCATCATCTCTTGCGGTTCTCAGGGAAATTTCCGGTCTACAAAATCTAAATAAAACCCAAGCGTAGCAACATTACTGCAAAGCACCAAAAAGCTCCTTGGCAGATAATATATCACTTTACTTGTTATGACTCACAGGTTGCTGCAAGATTACAAATGTAGACTGTTTGTCTGTAATTATGCAGCTAGCTATATGCAAAACAACTGCAAAGCTGTGTTGGCAAATGGAGGGGGAAATGTGTTTTGGCCAGGTTTCACAAAAGCAACAAAAAAAACAAAAACCAATATTCAGGCGGCAGAGACTAGTTTAACTGGGAGGATGCCAGTGGCTCCTAATCAAAACAGAAATGCTTTACTTAAGGCAAACATACCAAAGTATGTGGAAGTGAAGCCATCACTTTGGCATTTGGCTAATGACAAAGATGCTGTCTCGTTATTAAAATGGTAAATAATTGACTGTGTTGGGAAACATTTACAAATAAATGTTTTCACACAGTTCTGACTATAGCTGTATATCCTGTTCAGTGCATCAAAGGCGGCTTAGAAGGTAGATCCACCAGTTGTTTATCCTAGTATACCAGGGAATTGCTGCTGCAGGGCATCTCTGTAAATTCCATAGGCTTGCAATATATGCCTGTGCACAGAGATAGAAAATTGGCACTGCTTCTGCAAAAGATTGGTCTACTTGCCATAGCTGTGTAATATGTCAGCAAGCAGTTCACACAGGGCATTTTTCTTCCACGAGCTATAAAAATCAAAAGTGTAAGGGGAATGAGCAACTATGTGTTGGTTGCTCGCTTTTTACACTACTCACCTGGATGGACTGCTCATGTGAAGAACTATCTATCAATGGAAACAACTGTGGTCATTTTTTTAATCACCAGAACTAAGAGATTACCAAGGATAACACTTCAGGCATCTGAGGAAGTAGACTCTGCCCCCTGCCAACTCTTATGCCATCTTGGAACCAGTGTGGTGTGGTGTAGTGGTTGACCCTGGGAAAGAAGGGTTCAAATCTCCCTTCGGACATGAAGCTCACTTGGGCAACCTTGAGCCTCTCAGCTTCACCTACCTCGCAGGGTTGTTGTGGGAATTCACTAATTGTATGACACTTTGAGCTCCTTGGAGAAAAAGGTGGAATAGAAATGTATGAAATGAAATAAATTAATTCCATATAAAATAATAAATTATTAGTCTTTAAGTTACTGCAAAAGGACTTGCGTTTTTCCCAGAGATATAATATATTACCCAGCAGTGCCTTCCTTATACAGTCATTTTCTCTCTCTTCCCCTCTTCAGGCATTTTGCCGGTTAGTGTACATGGCCAGTTCCATAGCTCCTGTTGACTGGTCGCACTACGCTTCTGGTCATTTCTACTTCTGTCATTCACGAGGTCACCAGTATCAATGAAGAAGGCAAGTTTGGTCAGCACTTGAATGGCACCCCCTAGTTCTTCATTTTTCGTTATGACTGCCATCCATTTCTTTGGGAGGAAGGAACTGAACGGTCGCTGCAAATTGCTGTAAATTCAGTTGGTGGATCACTCCAAATGAACAGCCAGGGCCTTTGACAAATGAAAAATAGTGAATGTTCCTTTCTTGGATGTTTGTAGTTTACCCCCAAGGGCAATTCTGTTGCAGGGGGCTCAGAGGTGTGGTCTGTGTGGGCAGTGTTTGTAAGAAAGGAGTTTTGGACTTTGAACTGAAAAGGAGAGCTGAAAGTTAAACTGGAGTTAGCTAAACTGGGGTGCAACTCTGGAGCTGCCAGCTAAACCTATCTATGAGAATCTGGCCCAGGATTAGCTGGTGTGCTGTCTGCTTCTGAAAGTGTAGTTGTCCCCACTATGCTCTACTTTGAAATTTGTAAACAAAGCCCTAGAACTTCTCATGACTCAAAAGTAGAGAGCTCTTAATGTTATACAGTGACAGTTGTTTGATGTTTTATTGGACTCTGCCATGTGCTTAAATAGCTAACATGTTTTGCTTCAAGGAAAAGAAGAAAATGTATGTGTTTCTCAGCCACCTATGCTACCAAGTCCACTGACTAATTAATGAGAATTGACAATCTGATCATGTCCCATTTGTTTTATTAACTTTTAGCATTTCTCATTTCTCCTGGAAATTGTTTCAAGGCAGAGTTTTATTTGAAAGGATTAATCTCTCTCAAGTGCATTCCATGAGATGGAGAAGTCTCCTTTCTGAGCAACTTTCTGAAGATAGAATCTATTGATGCTCACAGTGCTCCAGCGACTTCATGGAGACCACATTTCTCTCAGCTTGCCATTTAAGAATAAATTGTTTCTAGAGCTGGACGTCTGATTATGTAAATAAATCATTAACACTGAGGAAGCTACACAACCTTAGATCAGCCGTATTTGTTGCCTTTGTTTTATGGTATTCCCAATTTTTATGGGGAACACCTGAGAACAGTATGTCTGTTTGAAAGTCAAAGACCTGTTATGTCAGCTGCTGCAGTGGCAGTGAAGAGAAGACAGCATTTCAAAAATATATTCATTTGTATTGCTTTTTTCTGCAGCCCTTTACAAAACATTTATTTATTTATTTCATAAAATTTATATACCGCTTGATTGGAAAAGGAAAACAACAACTTCAAAGTCATTTGCAAAAGATAAAACAGTAAAATAAAGGGGGGATCACAATCATACTTTCAAAACATACAAAAGTTAAAATACTAGAACAGATTAAAATAACCTCAACATTATCAGCATCTGGGTAGGTTTGTCTAAACAATAATGTTTTAAGCAGATGCCGAAAAGAGCACAGTGAAGGCGCCTGGTTGATCTGAATAGGCAGGCCACATTTCAGAATTATTCTATATAAAACATACAATCATAGAATTATAGAACGGGAAGGGCACCAAGGGTCATCTAGTCCAACCCCCTGCAATGCAGGAATCTCAACTAAAGCATCTATGACAGGTGGCCATCCAGTCTCTGCTTAAAAACCTCCAAAGAAGGAGAGTCCACAACCTCCTGAGGGAGACCATTCCACTGCTGAACAGCTTTTACTGTCAGAAAGTTCTTTGTTATGTTTGGTCAGAATCCCTTTTCTTGTAACTCGAATCCATTGGTTCGTGTCCTACCCTCTAAAGCAGGAGAAAACAAACTTGACCATCTTCCATGTGACAACCCTTGAGATATTTGAAGATGACTATAACATCTTCTCTCAGTCTCCTCTTTTCTGGGTTTAACATACCCAGCTCTCTCAACCTCATAAGCCTTGGTTACCAGACCCTTGATCATATTGGTTGCCCTCCTCTGCACACATTCCAGCTTGTCAACACCCTTCTTAAATTGTAGTACCCAGATTGGTCACGGTATTCCAAGTGTGGTCTGACAAAGGCAGAACAGAGTGGTACTACAGTGGAACCTTGTGTTACTCCTTACGAATGCTTTGGGTAACCTGCTCCTCTAACCCGGAAGTAGATGCCGCTAGTTGTGACCTTTTCCCGGGATGAGAGCAGAAGTCACGTGCTGGCGGCGTGGCAGCAGTGGGAGGCTCCATTAGCAAAAGCGCACCTCATGTTAAGAATGGTTTCGGCTTAAGAACGGACCTCCAGAATGAATTAAGTTCGTAACCAGAGGTACCACTGTATTACATCCCTTGATCTGGACACCCACAAAATTGTTAAGTTTTTTGGTGGAACAAACTCAAATTGTTGAGCTTTTTGAGCTGTTTCTGCTGCTTTTTCTATCACATTGCCATACATCTGGGTTTTTCCTGACATTCTGCTCATTCGGCAGAATTCCCTCCAACATCATTTTTGCACCAGGAAACCAGGACATGCCAGGAATTTTCCTGACGTATGGTAAGCCTATCAAAACAATACCATGACCTTATGTTTAGTTTTGCCTTCATCTACCAAAATGTAATTCATATAGGGACCTTATAAAAGTGGGTAATCCATATGCAAATTTCTGTATGTTATTTGTCTTCCAATATCATCTAGCAAGCCATAACACTTGTGCAGATGTTCTGAAGGATGCAGCTCATATCAAACTACTACAGTATTTCTTCTTTTTTCTTTACTGTCTGGGGTTTTTTTTTCCTTCTCTCAAAAATCAAGCAGAATGTGATTGCAGATAGATTACATATGGCAAACAGCTGCTAAGTACTGAAAAGAAAGAGCTAAAAGAATAATATACAAATTTCCTATTGCTAAATCCCCTTGATGAAAAATTAAATTGACAATTCAACACTTCAGAGAAAACCATCCATCCAGATACTGTGCACACATCTGCTATGTTACAAACATTTCTAGTAAATGTATCTTCAGGGTGTTTATTATAAATTGGCTATAGAAAACACCGATAAAAACAGGTATTGTCTTTGAAGAAAAGGACTGAATAATCTGCAAACTGAAAAAGTAAATGAAAAGGTAGTTTTCAAGGCAAATTCTTCACTCCATTACACTTTGTGCAGTAAGACATTAGACCAGAAAACGACCTACACCTTTCCCACTTAGAAAAATATCTTGTTTCTAATCTGAATCCCACAATGTATAGAAATTACAAGCAATCAGGACAGTCAACATTACATTTTACAAAGCAGGCTTTGGGTGCGTTTGAGATATCATACAGTGATTTCAGTAGATTATGTAACATGCTGTGCAGTCCCAAGAATGTTTTGTCAGAGAAGAAAATACCACGTATCATAGAATCATAGAATCATAGAATCATAGAATCATAGAGTTGGAAGAGACCACAAGGGCCATCGAGTCCAACCCCCTGCCAAGCAGGAAACACCATCAGAGCACTCCTGACATATGGTTGTCAAGCCTCTGCTTAAAGACCTCCAAAGAAGGAGACTCCACCACACTCCTTGGCAGCAAATTCCACTGTTGAACAGCTCTTACTGTCACGAAGTTCTTCCTAATGTTTAGGTGGAATCTTCTTTCTTGTAGTTTGGATCCATTGCTCCGTGTCCGCTTCTCTGGAGCGGCAGAAAACAACCTTTCTCCCTCCTCTATGTGACATCCTTTTATATATTTGAACATGGCTATCATATCACCCCTTAACCTCCTCTTCTCCAGGCTAAACATGCCCAGCTTCCTTAGCCGTTCCTCATATGGCATCGTTTCCAGGCCTTTGACCATTTTGGTTGCCCTCCTCTGGACACGTTCCAGTTTGTCAGTGTCCTTCTTGAACTGTAGTTCAATGGGATTTGCTTTCTAGCAAGGCTGGCTACGACTGTGGAAGTAGTGTGTAGCATTGCCTGTCATCATTGTTTGGCTTGCTGGAAGATGTGAGACCTGGAAGAAAGGGAGCAGCACAAACTGAGCCAACCTTGTGGGGGTCTATACTGCCTGTTTTGTATACATTGCCATTAGATGACCATGTATTGATGGGAGGCCTGTAGCACAATGCATAATTTAAACACACAGGATTCTGGGTTCTGTTCATGGCATCTACAGGAAGAGCTGGGAAAGACCCCTGTCTGAAACCCTGGAAAGCCACTGCCAGTTAGGTAGACAAAATACTGAACTAAATTCACTGCATCAAAGAGTGGATCAGCTCTAAGTGTAAATCAGAGTGGGGCACCTGTGGCCCATTGTGGGTATAGTTCCCAGCACCCCTGACCATTGGCCATTTGGAATAGACAGTATTGGACTAGATCAGGGGTTGGCATGGCTTATCGGCCATGGGCCAGATCACTCCCATGGAGATCATCTGTGGGCCAGACCAGCGCAGCATGACACCGGAAATTGCATCTGCACATGTCTGCGGCACCGGAAATCGTGTCTGCGCATGCCCAGATGCCGAAAATCGTGCCTGCGCAGAAGCAATTCTCAGCTTCTGGGCATGCACATAAGCGATTTCTGATATCTGCGCATGCACAGACGTGATTTCTGGCACTGCTTGGAGAGTTCCTGCGCGCGCAGGGGACTCACCAAGTGGGCAGCTCGGTTTGGGGGCGGCTCGGGGGCTGGTAAAACGGTCTTCATGGGCCGCACATTTCCGACTCCTAAACTAGATTAACCAAACTATCTAACAACGAAAAGAAACATCACTTGTCCTCAGATGCAATACTTTGCAATTGCATCAGTTCACACATTCAGCTACTACAAGCAGATATGCATATATGTATGAAGTGGCAGGTCAAATATTTTTCATAATTTTATGGGAATGAAAAATAAGTCATCCGTGTTAAATCAACCCACATTTGTTCACTCGTCCTTAAAGTTTATCTAAAATGTGTTCCGTTTTCTGTGATTGGCCTCCTGTCATACAATCTGTCAATCTGTCGAGCCAGGTCGCAAGGCAATTTGAACGGGTGCCACACTCACTTGCTCCTTCTTCTTTATTTGCAAAGTTTCTGAGTATAAGAGCATAAGGAACTCCTTCTGGATCAGACCAAAGGCCCATTTATTCCAGCATCCTGTTCTCACAGTGGCCAATCAGATGCCCACAAATATCTTTATGCAACATAAAAAATAATATACATCGAAGAGCTGAAAATGCGAAACCTGTTCAGCTACACACAGAGCAGCTATATTAATTGACCCAAATATTTTGTCAAAATGTGGCTAAATACATACGCCTTTCATATCAAATGAATATGATTTGCTGGTTATGTGAAGGGCAAAATATAATGACTCATTCAACCTATTGGCTAATGAAGATTAAAGAAAAGATTATTAATGAAGAGGCAAAAGCTATAAGTTGGTTTAGCTATGTATGTGAAACTCAATAAAAAATTAGATTTGTTTTGTATCATATTTGATAAAATTTCACTTATCTTCCACACAGAAGTGTGTGTAAAGGAAATGAAATACCACATGACTGCCCTAAACTACTTCACTTTGTCACCTGCTGTGAGCAAAATTGACTGGCTTTTTTTTTTTAATCTCATAAAGAACGCCACAGGAGAAAGAACTACAGGGAGAAGAAGTGCACTCTGTGATGCCTTGTATTTTGACACACAATGTAACAGATGACAATTCAAAAAGGGGGAAAGACTGCAATCCTACACACACTTCCCCAGGACTAAGTCCCATTGAATTCAATAGCACTTACTTCATAGTAGATATACACAAGATTTCGCTGTTAAACACTGGAATTGCAGCATCTTGGATGTGTAAAGTAAAATACATCATTATTTGTTTATAAAAATCAATTAGTACAAATAAGATCAATATAGTGATGCTAGCTGGGAAGAAAGTGTAACACCTGACAGTGTGTTACGAGTTGCCTTAAAGAGCTCTTTTTTAAGCAGAATAAAAAGAAAAACTGGTTCCAAACGAGGGAAATTCCAAGCCATTCCAAGTGCAATGTGTTATGTACTGAAGTTCTCACCCTGGGCCAGCAGGGGGATACTGTAGATAGTTAT